TCCTGTAAAGAGAAAAAGAAGCTCCAAGGTTTGGGACAAGTTTTTTTTTTTTTTTTTTTTTTTTTTTTTTTTTTTTATTTTTTTTTTTAGTCTCTTCTTTTGCGTTGTTCTCTGAAGATGCACAGTAAACTAACTGAGTGTAAAGAACAAGGGTCCAGTTTTCTTACTGTGACTAAGTGAGCTTTGCTATGACCGGAGGACAAAGGCTAGATTGACGTGAGATGAACGTTCCAAAGAGGCTGGTTTCTCTTTTTGTTTACTTTTCCGATCCTAATTCTCCCTAGAAGGAGAAGGAGTGATAATTAAAACACATGCTCTACAAAACCTCCAATGTAAGCATTGTTCTTAGGAGGAAAGACTCAAAGTACTAGACAAAGAACTCCTAACTACTGACCCTGAACTCTTACAAAGGCCAAGATAACAAGAAAAGGAGGATGGAACCGGGCTGGGAGGAGGGGAGGTACATCATAGGAGAAAGAGAAGAAAAGAAGAGCAGAAGGAAAACAGCTGTAAACATTTATCAGTGAGGAAGCAGTCCTGGGCACTTGAGTTGTCCTGGCAGCATTGTAGGGTCTACCATCCCTACCCTGCCTTCTTCCCACCGTCAGACCTGGACCGAATTCCCAGAATCACCCGAGAGCTGGGATATTCTTGAGAGGGCCTCTATCCTGGCCAGTGCAGTAGCCTCTACACTAGCTTGACATTTTCCTGTGAAAATGCCTCCTGAAGACTCACTGCCCACTGTACTATTCTTCCATCCGACCACTCCAAACAATCCATGGTCCTTCCTTATATTACACTGAGCTAAACTTGCTTGTCTATGACACAAACTGGTTTTGTCTTTTACCTCTCTGGGTTTAAATGAGGTTTCCCGGCGTCTTGCTGAGCAACAGAATTGTGTATAGACTCTGGAGTGGACCATCTTTGCCCTACCCAGGTTCAGCAACCTGCCTTACCAGCTCTGCGACCATTAGCAAATCTCTTAACCTTGCCGTACCTCAGTTTCTCACTTGTAGAATGGAGGTGTTGATAATGTTGACTGCTTCAGTACCATCATTGCAGGGACAAAATCAGATAACCAGCGGAGAATTCTCTATGGCACAGATAAGTCATATATAAGTGCTCTGAAAACCACAGCTAGTGAAATGATGCAATAGACTATGCATGACTCCAAGGCAGAGCCTGAGTCCTAGTCATCATTTTTGCATAGTACAGAGTCTGGCTGGATATTTGGTACAAAATAAAAATAGATGCTTCCTGGATGACTATGCAATTCATTGACAGTAGCTCTATTCCAGTGTAAATCCCTACATATGATCTTGAGTCTCGGAGCAGGGGATTTAGCTCAGGGGTTCTGCCGCCTGCCTTGCAAGCGCAAGATCCAGAGTTTGATCCCCGAACCAAAAAAAAACAAAAAACAAAAAACCTACTGCTCAACTCTTCTTCTACCCCACCATTTAACCACTATCTAGAAATTCCAACCAGAAAATCCAACTTTTCTTCACAGAGAGCCTTAGGACAAGGCAAAGGTCACCAGAGCCACATTCCAGGCTTCAAGTCCAACCAGCCCTGTTCAGGAAGTCTCTGTGAAGGGTCCTTCGTTTTCCTACAGCCGAAGTTGTAAAGCAATCATACTTTTGATTTGCTATGGCCTCTATGGTAAGGATCTGTGGGTTAGAACTAACCCTTCCAGAGGAGGGAAAGAGCCTGAGAGACTCAAAGAGAAACCAGATCAGAGAGCAGACTGACAAGGGAAGAGATATGGGAGGAGTGGGGAAGAAGGGGATCTGGGAGTTGAGGGGGATCCTGCACTTGGCTAGGGAGATAGAATCTTTGGATGTCAGCCACAAACCGGAAGCACAAGTGGACTGAAGTAAAATTTCCAGCCACCAGACAGAAGTGACACTGCTTGGGGAACAAAGATGCTAAGGAAACACTGGAGTAGCAAGCACAGTACTCAACACGGAGGAACTGCTCCTTGGAAGCTCAGAGCACTTGCCCACACATCTGCTATAGCCCATCCTAGTCTGTCCCAAAGTCAGGGGCTCAGCCTACTGGGGGCTGGGCCCAGGTCTCAGGGCAGTGCTCCAATTCTTTTAGGGCTCAAATGGTTCAAAGGCTTTCATGAACACACCAAGTTCCACTCCGGTACACAAGTGGACATGAAAAGGCAGGTGGGCAAATTTTGATTTAAAATTCTCTTTCTCCTAAAAATCAATTCTGCATGCCCAGCGGGTGCGGAAGAAGCCCCAGGGTTGGCCACCGCAGGACCCTCTTTGCTGGGAGCTCTCTCCTAAGGCTTGGCATCTTTCCTCCTACCGCTGACCCACAGGGTGCGCGGTCAGGGGTCAGGGCACCCCTCTTGAAGAACAGCAGCCCCTGCGTCTAGGGGAAGACCAGAGAGCCTGCTCAGGCCCTTCACTGAAGGGAGAAGTAGGGGCGGCAGCACTTAGCGGGGAGCAGGGCTGCTTGTTTGTTAGTTTCCTGGAACACCCTGTTAAGAATTTCAACAATTGCAGTCAGAGCTGTATGATTTGGCAAGCAGAGCTCTCCTAGTCCTTCTCAGCGGCGCGGGATCTAATTCGCAAACACACCATCTTGCATTCAACACTTAAATGAAAAGCAAGCAGCCCGGGGAGACAGGCAAGTGGCTCTGCACGCCCGTTTCAGGGGGCCTTGTGAATCTAGGTCTTTTGACTGTCTAGTGCCGTCAGGGGAGAGGATTTCCCTGAGTCCCGACCCGCTGGCACCTCGGCTTCAGAACACGCTGGGACGGAGGGCACGAGCTGCAGTTAAACTTAAGGATCTGGCTGGGCCTTAGGCCTTGCCAGTATAAAAGAGTGACTAAAATCTGCAAGAGCTCAGATTTTAAAAGGCGTTAACTACTTATTCTTCTCACTGGAAACCCGGTGTAAAGAAATTAAGGCCTCTCTTAAAGGTAACTAAGATTAGAGGGCTCGGTTTCCGTTTTCCGTGGGCTGAACGCCCAGGCCGGCCAGCGAGTTTCTCTCTGTGCGGAATGCCGAATTCCTCTCGCCTGGATTCTAAAATGATAACTTTGCTTGGTGCTGCAGCTGCGAACGTCTGGCGCCAAGCGACCCAATCGTGGTCGTGGCTTTGCAGAGGGAGAAGTGAGGGGGAAAGGGAAAAGGCGAAGAGCCAAGGCTTGGCGAAAAATCGGGAGAGCTGCGAAAAGGGAAGTAACGGCAGATCCTCCTGGCCTCGGCCCCTTTAAGTGCTTCACTGACTCAGCTAAGCTTCCCCCTCAGGTCGCGTTTTTTATGAATGAAAAACGTCCTTACATTCATTACATAAACAAGCCTGTGCTGATTGGCCAGTGGCCCCCGGTGCATAAATTATGTAAAAATAGACCTCGAGGGGGTGGAGAGAGATCCACAGTCGACCAATGGAAGCCGGAGTTAGTGGGGCGGCTCAGTTGGATTTGCTCGAAGACAGGGTAAACAAGAGGTGATGGACGGCCGCGGGAACGGCCTCCGACCAATGGGGATCAGACTAGGTTGGGGCCGCGGGCCAATGGCGCGGTGCATAAATTATGTAAAAATAGACCTCGAGGGGGTGGAGAGAGATCCACAGTCGACCAATGGAAGCCGGAGTTAGTGGGGCGGCTCAGTTGGATTTGCTCGAAGACAGGGTAAACAAGAGGTGATGTGGAACGAGCCCCGAAGGCCCAGCTGGCAGGAGTTCACGGGCTGACCCGGAATCCTCAAAGTCGGGGTGTACATCTGGGGCGAATCTCCGGGGACCGACTGCCCCCTACCCCCACGGACCGGTCAGGTCCGGTTCTGATCTTAGGAGGCGTCGGGCGGGGGCGGCTAACGGTTCCGGAGCGCGAGGGGCGCGGGTTTCCGCA